TGCTGAGAAAGAGAGACATGAAGGACAGGCTGAGTTAGAAAGAAATGAACAAAACATGTGGAAAAGCCAAAGAGTTACAGAGAAAATAAGGCATAGTGAATAAACATGCATGTAATTTGTGAAGCCCACTAAAGGAAACTGAACAAATGTAGTAGAAATAAAATATCCAAACATATGAGAGAAGATATTTTATAAAACAAAGGTAGATACGTATCTTACGATTGAAAGATCACACTGTGTCCCAAGAAAAACTGATCAATCAAAACATAGCCATTAAATTTTTTGGCTTCCATGATTAGAGGTAGTATCCTATAACATCCAGCAACTCCTCTGTATGTCTCCCCAGCCTCTCAATAAATAACCAAGCAAAATAAACACATGTATTTTTAAAAGCTACCTATAGGGCAAAAGAAAGAGTCAAACTGGGTTCAAAGTTCTGTAAAGCAATGTCTGCAACTCCTCAGTTAAGGAATGGGACCAAATGTTTTACAGCAAGACGGACATATTTAAATATGCAGGAGTGAAATAAACATAACATCCATAAGTCCTTGTGGGAAAAAAACAAAGTATCTGATAACTTAATTGAGATTTCCAAGAGACAAATGAAAAGACATGAAAAAAAAATTGAAAATGTTCGTTAAACCAACTTAAAGAATTTCGAAAACTATAGCCACAGAAAACAATATAAATTTTTATTAATGCTGAAAAAGTAGAAAACATAATGAAATTTTCTATTTGGAGGGTAATCTTTTCCTTAAAAATTCCTTGTAGGCAGGGTCTGGTGGCTCACACTTGTAATCCCAGCACTTTGGGAGGCTGAGGCAGGTAGATCACCTGAGGTCGGGAGTTCAGGAGCAGCCTGACCAACATGGAGAAACCCCATCTCTACTGAAAATACAAAATTAGCTGGGCGTGGTGGCGCATGCCTGTAATCCCAGCTACTTGGGAGGCTGAGGCAGGGGAATTGCTTGAACCCGGGAGGTGGAGGTTGCCATGAGCTGAGATCGCACCATTGCACTCTAGCCTGGGCAACAAGACCGAAACTCCATTTCAAAAAAAAAAAAAAATTCCTTGTGAAGTGAATTATCAAAATAAAAACATAATTATAATTGTAATTCATTCAGTTACAAATAAAACATATCGCCTCAATATTTGAGTAATTGAATCTTTAATTTAAATAAAAATAAGGCCAGGCACAGTGGTTCATGCCTATAATCATAATACTTTCAGAGGTGGGAAGATCTCTTGAGCCCTTGGCGTTCAAGGTGGCAGTGAGCTCTCGCTCACTGAACTCTAGCCTGGGTGATGGAGGAGCGAGACCCTGTTTCTAAAGACATGAAAATTGTTAAAAATTAAAAATAAATAGTAGGCTGGGCACGGTGGCTCACGCCTGTAATCTCAGCATTTTGAGAGGCTGAGGCAGCGGATCACAAGGTCAGGAGATCGAGACCATCCTGGCTAACACAGTGAAACTTTGTCTGTACTAAAAATACAAAAAATTAACCAGGCATGGTGGCGGGCGCCTGTAGTCCCTCCCAGCTGCTTGGGAGGCTGAGGTGGGAGAATGGCGTGAACCCGGGAGGCGGAGCTTGCAGTGAGCCGAGATGGCGCCACTGCACTCCAGTCTGGGCGACAGAGTGAGACTCCATCTCAAAATAAATAAATAAATAAATAAATAAATAAATAAATAAATAAAATAAATAAATAGTAAATGACCCCCAAAATCTGTACAAATGATGCAAATAATTCACAGGATCATCACCACTACAAACCAGCAAATCATGGACCTGCCAGGGTTTACTAAAACCTGTGCAAACTATACTACTGAGAACGTGGCTGCATAGTGGTGCTCACTATGGCTGAGTTGCTCATAAATGTGCTTGCCAGGAGATGTCTCATAATCTGAATTTCTCACATATCATAATTCCCATGAGTCTCACGGGACCATCTTACGCCATAACTTTAAAAAATCAGACAGACGTGGGCAGGAGAGAAGCTAAAGAAAGTATCATTTCTTTGGTTTCCTCACCTTTCATAGAAACCATCAACAGCTACTGTCTGAAGATGATAAAAATAAAGACATATGCATATGGTTAGACAATTGTATGAACATATGTATCAGATGGAAAACACACATAGCAAAACAAATACCCATTGCAAAAGAAGAAAACAAAGGAAGTATTTATAATGAAGTCATTTAAAATAAACATGAGCGTAACTCCCCGAGTGACCTCCCTAAATAAATAGCAGCACTCCTTCCCATAACCATGCTCCTTATTCCTATTTTCCTACTTTATTTTTTTTCACAGCATTTAACCACCACCATTGCATATTTATTTGTTGTTATTCTTATAATTTTTCGCCTCTCCTAACTAGAAGTCAATTCTACGAAGGCAGAAATTCTATTTTGTTCACTGCTGTATCCCAGCATCTAACATCATAGTTGGTATAACTGTCAGTGCTCAATAAGTACTTTTTAAAATAAATGTATGAGTAAAAACAGAAAACTGATACAAAATGAAACTACAGAAATGAAGCCAAACAAAGATAACATAACAATAAATGCGAATAAAACAAATTCAGTTATTCAAAGGAGAATAATCACAGTATGGGTCAAAAACATTAACCAAATACAATATACTGGTTAAAATATGTAAGCTCTGAAGTAAAAATGCAAATTTGATTTCCAAATCAAAGGTCTTATCAATCCTCTTTTAAGATGACATTCTGAGGCTACAGGTGGCTAATCTGTGTAAAGCAAGACACAGAAAAGTGCCCAGTACATGGTGCACAGTCAGTAACTTTTAGGGGCAATGGTAAAAGCAGAAGTGAGCTTGGTTGTATCAATGGTGACAGCAGTGGTAACTCAAACCAAATGACTTCATAGGGTTACAATGAAAAGCATCAGTGCCAATCAGAATGGCTATAATTAAAAAGTCAAAAAATAACAAATGCTGGTCAAGTTGCAGAGGAAAGGGAACGCTTATACACTGTTGGTGCAAGCATGAATTAGTTCAACCTTGTGGAAGACAAGACAGTGTGGTGATTCCTCAAAGATCTAAAACCAGAAACACCATTTGACCCAGCAATCCCATTACTGGGTATACACCCAAAGGAATATAAATGATTCTATCATAACGACACATGCACGTGTATGTTCATTGCAGCACGATTCACAATAGCAAAGACATAGAGTCAACCTAAATGCCTATCAATGGTAGACTGGATAAAGAAAATGTGGTACATATATGCAATGGAATACTACGAAACCATGAAAAAGAATGAGATCATATCGTTAGCAGGAACAAGGGTGGACCTGGAGGCCCTTATCCTTAGTAAACTAATGCAGGAACAGAAAACCAAGTACAGCATGTTCTCACTTATAAGTGGGAGCTAAATGATGAAAAACATGGATACATAGCGGGGAACAACACACACTGGGAGGGAGTGTGTGGAGGGAGGAGGAGGAAGGAAGGAGGAAGAGGAGCAGGAAAAATAACTAATGGGTACTAGGTTTAATACTGAGTGATGAAATAATCTGTACAACAAACCTCCATGATACAAGTTTACTTATGTAATAAACCTGCGCATGTACCCCTGAACTCAAAATAAAAGTTAAATAAAAAAGAAAAAGAATCCGTTATCATGACAGTATAAAAGACTGAATCTGATGTGGTCTGGAGACTGTGAGAAACATTCTCCAAGGAAATTATGTTTAAGCTGAGACCTGAAGGATAGATGGGGACTAGTCAGGCAAAGAGCAAGACAGTGGGCAGAGAAAATGGAAAACGAAATTTGTGTGTGTGGTAGGGGAGGAGAGGAATAGCATTTAAGGCATCAGCAACAGCACGTGTGAGAGAATACATTGCAGAGAAGTGCCAAATACTCCAGCCTCGGGAAAAAGTCTCATCCCCACAGCACACACTTTAGTTAACAGACACTGCAATGGGAATTTTTGTTGTTAATGTATTCAATTGACTTAACAAATACTTTATGTCAGCTCTTATGTGCCAGGCACTCTGTCAGATGCTGGGGTTAGAACCAAGGTATGCAGAGCCCCTTGGCTTCACGGAGCTTACAGTGGGAAATTTTTAAAAGTAAATGATAGGCACACTGGGTTTTACTATGAAAAATAGTAGAGTGCCACAGAAGCATACAGCAGGTAAACCTAATTTAATTCTGGGGTCCAAAAATTATCCTAGAAAGCGTAACTTTTAGGAGAACACTCAAAGGAAAATTAATTGCTCTTAAGGTGAGTGAGGAGGAATGAACAAAACATTTGTGAAGGTATTGAGGTAAAAGAAAATGCAGCAGTAGAGCATTTGAAAGAAATGCAGTATGTCTGAAACAAAGAGAACCAGAGAGAGAGGGAGAGCAAGAGTGTGAGAGAGAGAGGTGCAAGCAGAGAGAAGCTGGAAAGAGACAAGGCATGATAGCCTGCATTAAGAACTATATTTTCAGTTGGGCGCAGTGGCTCATGCCTGTAATCCCAGCACTCTGGGAGGCCGAGGCGGGCAGATCACGAGGTCAGGAGTTCGAGACCAGTCTGGCAAACATGGTGAAACCCCCATCTATACTAAAAATACGAAAATTAGCCAGGCGTGGTGGCGGGCACCTGTAATCCCAGCTACTCGGGAGACTGAGGCAGAATTGCTTGAACCGGGAGGTGGAGGTTGTGGTGAGCTGAGATCATGCCACTCCACTCAAGCCTGGGCAACAGTGTGAGACTCCGTCTCAAAAAAAAAAAAAAAAACGAAAAGAAAGAAAAAGAACTGTATTTCCTAAGTCCATAAGAAATCATTGAACATGGATTGACCAATCCATTTTTCATATAATATGAAAGATTGTTCTGGTTATTGTGTGGAAAATTGCTTGGAGCAGCCGAACATGGAAGCTGCAGAGGCCACATGTATTTGTCAGTGTAAGTTTTGTTGTCCTATGGTAATAAATATCCCCCAAATCTCAGTGGCTCAAACAATAAAACTGTTTTTCTCACTCAGGCTGCACATCTTTCATGGATTCTGGTCCACCTCGTCCTCACGCGGGGATGCAGACTGACAAGTTTCCACCATGAAGGGTTATTATGTGCCATAGCAGGGAGAGGAAAATGGAGCAAATCAGTCACCAGCTCGTCACACAGCAGAGTGTCTCACGTCACATCTGCTGATATGTTATGGCCAAAGTACATGACTATCTCCAAGGAGCTGAGAGGTGAAATACCGACATTCGTCTGGATGGAGTAGAACCAGGAGAGTCGTAAACATCCTATGGACTACACACTGTTTAACAAGATGCAACAGTATTCTAGGTAAGAGACCATGGAGAGGCATTTATGAAAGCATTTTTAAATCAAATTAGAATTACTAAAATTTGTCGATTAATTGGATGTGAGAGTTGAGGGAGATGGAAGAGTCAGGGATCATTTCCCTGTGATGGATAAGACAACTGGATAAATGCTATAAAGTATCCTGAGTTAGAGAAAGTAGAAGATATTTTGGAGTGGGAGGGGACATTCAAACAGAGATGTCTAGTACACAGCTGGAAATGAGATCAGAAGAGAGGTCTGGGCCGAAAAATAAATTTTAGAGTGTTTGACATCCAAATGGTACTTGAAACCAATGGAACAAAGATTTGTGTGGGAGGGTAAGCAAATCATTGTTCTTTGAGACTTTCTTGATTTTGGCACTGAAAGTCGTATGTCATGCGAATATTCTCAGGCTTGAATGAACTGCAGTAGTTGGTCACCCTGTGAGAGTGTGTGAATTAAAAGAACACCAAGACAGATTTGTGAGGTGAAAACATGTACTGGTCAGGTTGAACAAGAGTTGTTGTCAAATGATACTGAGAAAAATAGTCATGAAGACAGAAGGCAAGTCAGAGGAATATCAGAATCCCAGAAAGCAAGGAAAGAGTTTCAACAAGGAGAGAGTGAGGGGCCAACAGGGCCAAATGGTACCCCAAGGTTAGGTAGGACTCAGATTGCAAATGTCCATTGCTGAGGGACTGGAAAACAGCTGAAATAGGACTCCCAGTTGTTCACACAGCCAAGCAGAGATCACGCAGGGAGGGGACGGCTTGTCCAAACACAGGAGGCTGACACATCAGGAAAGGGTCTGAGCTTGTCCTGGGTGTAGTGACCAGATACAGCAGACAGCATAGCAGCTTCTCACATAGCAGAAAAGAAATGATGCAGATCTAGGTTCTTGACTTGCAGTTCACTGCATACCTCCTCAGGCTGCTGGACTGCAGAATTCCAAAGGAATTCATTTAACACGTAAGAGGAATCAAAAAGGATACTCCTCAATTATACAAATGCAGGACACAGATAAAACTCTCTTTTAAAGGTGAATAGAGAGAAAATAGCCAACTGGGGCCTATGGAGAGACTCTGAAACATAAATGAAGATAAACTATAAGAAACATAAAGAACATTTTAATAAACATGATTTTTCTTTCTCAGTACAATTCAAGAAAGCATGAATCAGTTATTGGGGTTTTTCCTATAGAGTTGTAGGAATTCCTTACATATTTTGGGTATTAACTCCTTATTAGATATATGGTCTACAAATATTTTCTTCCATTCCACAGGTTGCCTTTCATTCTGCTAATTGTTTTCTTAGCTATACAGAAGCTTTTTAGTTAATATAATTGCACGTACCTAGTTTTGCTTTTTTCTTTTTCTTTTTTTTTTTTTGCCTGTGCTCTTGGTGTTTTATAGAAGAGATTATTGCCCAGACCAACATCTAGAAGATTTCCTCCCATGTTTTATTTTAATATTTTATGTATCATGTCTTATATTTAAGTCTTTAATCCACTTTAGTTGATTTTTGTATGTGTCATGAGATAGTGCTCTGATTTCATTCTTTTCCATGTGAATATCTCATTTTCCCAACACAATGTATGAAAGAGATTCTTTTTCCATAGTATATTCTTGGCACTCTTGGTAAATATCAGTTGACCATATATGCCTGGGTTCCATTCTGGGTTCTGCATTCTATTCCATTTGTCTGTATATCTGTTTTGATGTCAGTACCACACTGTTTTGTTTACTGTAGGCTTTAAGGGTCTTTAGTGTTTCCAAATGGATAATAGGATTTCTTTTTCTATTTCTGCAAAAATGCCGTTGGGATTTTGTTGGAGATTGCATTGAATCTATTGATTGATTTGGGAAGTAGGGACATTTTCTCTTCTTAAGTTTTTAAGCTATCTCCTACAGGAAGGAAGAACATTTTAGCAATATTAATTCCTCCAATCAATAAACATGGAAAATATTTACATTTGCATCTTAAAAAAATTTTTGTCTGTGTTTCGTAGTTTCGAGAGTACAAGTCTTTCACTTTCTTGGTTAAGTTTATTCCTAAGTATTTTGGTTTTTTTGATGCATTTGTAAATGGAATTGTTTTCTTAATTTCTTTTTCAGTCTATAGAAATGAAACTAATTTTTTGTATGTTGATTTTATTTTCTTCCACTTCACTGAATATGTCTGTAAGTCAACAATTTCTCTCTCTCTCTCTCTGTCTCTCTCTCTCTCTCTGTCTCTCTCTCTCTCTGTGTATGTAGACTTTAGGATTTAAATATATATATATATATAGGACTGCATCATCTGCAAACAGAAATCATTTTACTTCTTCCTTTCCGGTTTGGATGCTTTTTTTTTTTTGGCTAATTCTCTGGTAAAGACTTCTTGTACTATGTAATTGAACAGAAGTGCCAAGAGTGGGTATCCTGGCCTTGTTCCAGATCTTAGAGTGAAAGATGTTAGCTTTCTAACCATTGAATATGCCGTCAACTGTGAGCTTGTCAATGTGGCCTTTCTTGTGCTCAGGTAAATTCCTCCTGTATGTAACTTATTAAGAGTTTTTATCACGAAGTGTTCAGTTGTGTCAAGTACTTTTTTCTGCATCTATTGAGATGATCATGCTATTTTTATCCTTCGTTCTGTTAATGTGGTATATCGCCTTGATTTATTTGCATAAGTAGAGCCATCTTCACATCCATTGGATAAATCTTACTTGGTCGTGATGTATAATTTTTTTTAAATGTTCTGTTATATTCAATTTGATTGTAGTCTGTTGAGGAGTTTTGTGTCTGTTTGTCGGGGTTATTGGCCTATAGTTTTGTTGTGTTTTTTTTTTCTTGAGGTGCTTTCATCTAGCTTTGATATCAGAGTAATGCTGGCTTCCTAGAATAACTTTAAAAGTGTTCCCTTGTCTTCTATTTTTGGAATAGTTTAAGAAGCAATAGTATTAATTCTTCTATATTTGTTTGGTAAAATTCACCTGCCAAGCTTACTGGTCTTGGGTTTTTCTTTGCTGACAGTTTATTATCATTATTATTATTCCTTCAATCTCCTTGTTTTTTATCGGACTGTTTAGGTTTTCTGTTTGTTCTTTATTCACTCTTGGAAGAGTGTATGTTTCTAGGAATTTCTCCAATTCTTTTTGGTTGTCCAATTTGTCAGCATATAATTTTGTACAATGGTTTCTTATGATTCTTTTCTATGAAATCTTTTGTAATGGCTCCTCTTTCATTTCTGATATTTTATCTTTTTTTTCTTAGCCAATCTAGTTAAAGTTTTATTAGTTTTATTTATTTTTTCAAAATACAGCTCATAGTTTTGTCAGTTTTTAAAAAATGTTTTCTATTTTCTATTTTATTTCTGTTCTGATCTTTATTTATTTATTTATTTTTTGCTAATTTTGTATTTAGTTTATTCTTATATTCTAGTTCTTGAGATATAGTTAGGTTGCTTACTTGGGATCTTTCTTTGTTATAATGTAGGTGTTTATTGCTGTAAACTTCCCTCTTAGTACTGTTTTTGATGCATCTCATAAGTTTTGTTTTGGTGTGTTTCATTTTTGTTGTCTCAAAATATTTTCTAATTTTCTCTTGACTTCTTTTTAGACCCAATAGTTGTTTGAGAGTGTGTTGTTTAATTTTCATGCATTTGTAAATTTTTCTGTTTTTATTCTATTTTTTATTTCTAGTTTCATTCCATTGTGATTGGAAACGAGACTTGAAATAATTTCAATCTTAAATTGTTAAGACTTGTTTTGTAGCCTAGCAAGTGATTTATTTTGAAAAATGTTTCATGAACACTCGAGAAGAATGAGTATTCTATTTCTGTTGCACTGGTCTAGAACCAAACCTACAATATCTCCGATGTATGTCTGAATACTTACCTTGAATAATTCCTCTACATAGATTGAGAACCACATTAGACAGTGTTACAGCTTTGTGTTTTGACTGTCAATATATAGAAAACTCAAGAGGAGAAAGTCTATTGTCCTTGTCTATATTTTTGCTCATGTATAATTTCTTCCTTTCTAATGTTCTGAGTCTTTCTTTTATTCTGTTCTTTATGTTTAGAGAACTTTATTGAGTCATTTTTTAGGGTAGATCTGTGGGTTTTAAATTCTGTTAGTTCTCTTTTATCTTATGTCTTTATTTTATCTTTATTCCTGAAGAATATTTTCTCTGGATATAGGATTCTGGGCTGATAGGTGTTTTTTTTTTTTTCTTTCAACATTTGAAAAATATTGCAGCACTTTCTTCTGGCCTCTGTGATTGTTGAAGAGAAATCTACCATTATCCAAACTGTTTTTCCCATATAGCCAATATGTCATTTCTCTCTCATTGCTTTCAAAAATTTTTCTTTGCATTTAGTTTTTAGAAGTTTCACTATGATGTGCTTTGATGTAGATTTCTTACATCCTTTATTTTTATTTTTTCTTTTTTGGTCAATTTGGGATATTTTAAGCCATTATTTCTTCAAGTACTTTTTTGGCTCCACTGTCTGTCTTCTCCTCTTCTGGAACTCAAATCATACTAATGTTACATCTTTATTAAAGAGCCATATGCACTTGAGATTGTGTTCTTTCTTTTTTTTTTTTTTTTTTTTCAATCTATTCTCTTTGTTGTTTAGAGTGGATAATTTTTATTGTTATGTCTTTAAGTTCTGTGATTCTTTCTTCTATTCTCTCAGTTCTGTTGTTCAGTCCATTTGTTCAGTTGTCTATTTTGGTTATTATATATTTTAGTTCTAAAATTCCCATTTGGTTTTTTATCTTATATTTCCTTGTTGAAATGTTCTATTATTATTATCTCTTTTTTTTTGTTTGTTTTTTTTTTGAGACTGAGTCTTGCTGTGTTGCCCAGGCTGGAATGCAGTGGCACGATCTCAGCTCACTGCAAGCTCTGCCTACCAGGTTCTAGTAATTCTCCTTGCCACAGCCCCCCGTGTAGCTGGGATTACAGGAGCCCACCACCACGCCCAGCTAATTCCTGTATTTTTTAGTAGAAATGGGGTTTCACTATGTTGGTCAGGCTGGTCTCGAACTCTTGACCTCAGGCGATCCACCTGCCTCGGCCTCTCAAAGTGCTGGGATTATAGGCATGAGCTGTGCCTCGCCTGAAATGTTCTACTATTTTGCTAAAAAGTTCTTTGCTCTTGGTTTGATAAGTGATTTTTTTTTTATTGACAGCGTATATTTCTGATCATTGTACAAAAACTGGATATATTGAATTTTTTAGGCAGGCCTTCTCTGGCCCATTCAGTGAATGAAAAGGATACTGCTTTTGTGGGTGACTTGAAGGTCTAGCTTCTTTGTTGGAATGCAGGGCAGGGAGAGGATTTCTCATAACTTCTGGTGCGGGATGGGAGTCGGAGGTCCACTAGGGTTCTCTGACCACTTCCGCAAAGAAGGCACCTTATTACTTTTTATTTTATTTTTGATACAGGGTTTTGTTCTCGTTTGCCCCGGCGAGTGCAATGCACGGAACTCGGCTCACCAACTCCGCTCCGGTTCACGATTCTCCCTGCCTCGCTCAGTAGCTGGGATTACAGGCATGTGCCCACGTGCGGCTATTTTGTATTTGGTGGAGGGTTTCTTATGTTGGTCAGGGGCTGGTTCAACTCCCCGACCTTAGGTGACCACCCTCTCGCAGCCTTCCAAAAGTATAGGTTAACAGGGCATGAGTCAACGCGCCCAGCCCTATGCTGTGCTTTACAGTGGCCTCACTGACTGTCATTGAGAGGGGCAGGTGGGCCTTTGTTATCACGGAGTGGGGATGGAAGTCCTGGATCTGTACTAGGGCTTTTTTGACACTGGTGACCAAGGGGTGTTTGTACCTGGCAACGTTACTTCTGGGTTCTTCGTTGGTCTTGACTGGAGGAGTATAGGGGTTAGTTGCAGTTTTGTCTGTGGGATTTTGCTGGAGGCGGGAGTTATGGTTGAAAGTTTTCTGTTGCAAGGTTGACCTTTTTTCTGGGTCCCTGGCTAATGGAGGAACGGTTCATGTGATCGCGGCGCGTGTGCGTGTGTTGTGTGTGTGTGTGTTGTGGTGTGTGCGCTGTTAATGTTTCTGGGGTTGGCTGTTTCGTTCACTTCCAAGTTTGGGCATACATGGAGCAAACAACAAACAAACGAACAAGAGCCGCCACCTTGCCGTCATTCATTGGTCTTGGCACCTTTAGCTCAGTCCCTCTCTCTCATCTTTGAGATCTTATTTTGTTTCTTTTGCTAACAGAATCCAGAATTTTTTTAGTTTAAACCTGGCAGGAAGAAGGGAAGGACTATATCTCCTCCATCTTTTCAAAAGCGGATGCCAAGCTGTGTATAATTTTAGACTGTAATTTTTTTTTTTTTTTTTTTTTTTTTTTTTTGAGACGAGATCTTGCTCTGTGCAGGCTGGGTGCTAGTGGCCCGGATCTGGCAGCTCACTGCAGCTCCGCCTCGGGTTCCGCATTCTCCTGCCTCCAGCCTCCTGAGTAGCTGGAGTACAGGCACCGCCCACCTCACCGGCTGTTTTTTTT